TATGATTTGTACTTAGAATACCTGAGATGTTCATGGGAAATATTCATAGCAATCATCCTGCTAGCATGAATCTCTTGAAAATGTAATTATTTGATTTTAACACAACCATATCTTAGTGTATAAAATCTTTTACAGTTTTTTCCTCACACAATTGAAAAATTAATGGGGTCTCAACCTTCGAATCTGAAGAAGGAGACTGGGGGTGGGGGAAGAAAAAAATGGAAGATTGCTAGGGGACTGGATGCAGACTCTCTTTGGAGAAATCAGATCAGATGCTAGAATATGACATCATGGAGAGGGCCAGATGAATGGATAATGATTCTTATTAACCAAAGAGATAACCGAAGGGAAAAATAAAACTAGGAAGAGGAAGGAAAAGCACAGTGGAGAACTGAAGCTCAAGTGTTCACTGAGCCCCATTATACACTTTACTAGGCTCGCCTGGACATCCAAGGTCATGCTGAGACCATGGCGGCCCATAATGGGAGTTGGCGAATCTCAGAACCTTAATGGGAGGATGCGACACAGTGAGCAGTGGATCCAAGAGGAAAAGCTACATTGGCTCTCAGCGACTGCTGGAAATTGAAGCCTGAGGCCCCACAAAGCAGCCAAAGCCACCTGTCCATGCTGGAGGAGACTGCGTGAAGCTCCTGGGCTCCAAAGCCAGACATCACACAGTTTTCTGAACAATCTGTGCTGTGCTGGAAATGCAGTGAAGACACGTGGTGCAGTGAACTTAAGAGGAAGATCTGCATTGTGTCCCGATGAGTACTAGGGACTGAGTCCCACAGCTGCTGTCACTGGCTGGAGGACATCTTGGAATTGGGCAGAGCCCAGCACCATGGTGGTGTCAGTGACACAGAGAGAACTGATGGAGAACATCTTGGAGTTGGGCAGAACCTGGTGCCACAGTGACATCAGATAGTCACCCTTGGTGCAGAGAGATTTGGTGGAGCACATCTTGGATTTGGGCAGATCCCTATGCCACAGTGACATCAATCAGCTGCCCCGGCACAGAGAGAACTGGCAGGGTCTGCTGGGGCTGAACTACACCTCTGTTCAGGACCCAATAAACAGATACAAAATTGTCACAACTCTGTGATGTCCACAATGTACAGCCTAACTTGTGGATTGCCTGCACAGAGGCTGGAGGCTGGCCTGCACCATCCCTGCATCCCTGCCTATACCTCAAATAACAGCAAATTGTGGAGGGCAGCAAAAAATACAGTCAGCATGCTTTGGGAAGAATATGGAGAGGGCCAGAAACCCCCAAGACACACCAGTCTGAAAGAAACCAGAAACATGACAAGAGATAGAAAAAACAAACAAACAAACAAACAAACAAACAAACTCCAGCTGCTGAACCTGGGAAAATAAGCCCAGAAGAAGTAAAGGTAGAAGAGAACCAGCACAGTAACCATCCAATACTAGACACAGCATCAGCCAGCATAAAGAAATACCTTCATGACCTCATAGACCAATTTAAAACTGTACTTCTGATCCAAGTGAGGCAAGATATAAGGAGATTAATTAAAGAAATGATAAGCCCCTCCCAAGAGAACACATATGGAAGAATAGAGGAAATCAGAAAAGAAAGATAAACATCTGATGAAAAATTTAAACATAACATAGAATACATGAAACAGATCCAAAGAGATTAACAGGAAACTAAAAACTCCACTGAAAACTAGCAAAATGCCTTGACAGAAACTAAAGTTAGCCTTTTGAAACTTGAAGAGAGATTTATGATATATGATAGTGAAAGAAAAGACCTCTTAAAAATAATGAAGAACCAGAAAGAAACAATTCAAAGGCTAGAAGACAACAAAAGGATATATAACTTAAGTATAAAGCATGTGAGCAAGGAACCAGCAATAACCAAAAATGAACTACAGAGAATATTCACAGATATGTTAAAGGAAAACTTCCCAAGCATAGAAAAAAATTATATCCAGATAAATGAGGCATACAGAACTCCAGCCATCTACAACCAAAAGAGATCTACATTCAGATATATAATAATCAAGATTCCAGAAATCCATCAAAAGAACAGAATACTAAAAGCAGCCAGGGAAAAGAAGCAGATGACCTTCAATGGGAAAATTATCAAAATAACAACAGATTTATCAACACAAACTCTCAAATTGAGAAGATCCTGGGGAGAAATTATCCAAGCCCTGAAAGAAAATAATTTGCAACCAAGACTGATGTACCCAGAAAAACTCTCTCTCAAAATTAATGGAGAAATAAGATGGTTCCAAGACAAGGAGAAACTGTCAGAGTTCATGGCTACCAACCCAACCCTACAGAGAGTGCTGAAGGACATTCCAGAGAGAGAGAGGAAGGGATACCAGGATTCCAGCAACAGTGGCAGAGAGGCATCAATGAATGGGGCAGACAATGGAATGAGGGAGTAAGGTGGACAAATTATAGCAGTAAAATGGAGTAGCAGACTCTACTTCCTCCAGAAGGCAGAGATGGTAAGCTATAATCTTTAATATATCTATATTATAGATAGATCTATATTATAGATAGCCCTGATACACTAAAATAAAAAAAAAAAAAACAAAACAGGCAGAGTATATTAGGAGACAAAGCTCCACTGAGATGCTCTGCATGGGAAGTACACTCAATCTGAAGGAGGTTTAATAAAGTGAAAGTCAAAGATGAGAAAGCAAAGCTATATGTGATAGAAAACCAGAGAGAAATAGGGACAACTCATCCAGCAGTCTCAGATAGATTGGAAAGCTAAGACACTTTTGGGCAATGTAGAACTACACAGCTGGAAGGAATGAAAACCCTCTGACTTTAGTGAGTAAAGGAGTACAGCTCAAGATCAAGCTCAGGAGTAGAAAGGTTCAGCAACACTCAGACAGACAAGGGGCTGGCCCCCTAATCTAAAGACTAAAGGGGCTAGTGAGACCCAAAACATACAAAGCATCCTGAGAAGGGGAAAGGTGAAAAATAGCCTAAAAAGGGAAGCAGAGGTCATTGTTAATAGTGTATTAGGATTTAAAAGTCACAGTAGTCTTATAGCTCTGTTTAGTTTGAATTTATTTTTTTCCAGTCTGTCCACTCATATCAGATTTGAGGGAACAGATATCTAACCCAAAAATACCAGGTAATACCATGGTTACTATCCTTAATTTCCTATTAGCTTAAACTGAATCCCTGTATTACTTACATTGTCTTAATATGACTGATCTTATTTGAATCTGGTTTGTTAGACCGTGGTTTTGCCTTGGCTGATTTTATTCCAACTCAGTATGCTTGATATTATCAAATCCAAAAGTAGAGGCAACTACTCTGAAGATGACTAGGTGTAAAAGATATCCATACCAGTTTTGAGTATTAACTGCTCTCAAGTACTACAATGTTTTCAAAGTTGTGTTTTTATAAAAATAGCTATGTAATACTATGCTTAACTATATTAAGCCTGATGATGTGGACAAGTCTATTCAAAATAACAAGAAATAGCATAGTAACTACGGTAGATCACCTAATATTGTGGTCTTAATGTGTCTTTTTCATGGCATGTTTTTCTAGGAATTTGTTTTGGTGTCTTGTTATGATTTGTTTTTCCCTATAATACAGAGAGGATAGATATACATGTAGAAATTCACACATGGGAAGAATTTTTTAAACAATTTACGGGAACAGATTATATAATGCATGATGTAATGAACAGATACTCCGAAGAAGAGACACTAAGAAACCCAATGCTATTTCTGTAGTATTATGATACAAAATCTAGCAATACTGTTATTCATTGTTCAGAGTGATATTAGTCTAATCTCTTAAATTCAATTTCAGCATATGTAAAGATATGGACAGCTACTATGAAGAGAATAAGAGACTCTATGGTATTCATCAGTGTCTTCCCCAATGTCAGATCTTGAGGACCTAAAATGCTTAAAATCCTGTAATGATTTGATTAGTTCTATAATATGCAGTATGTATTCAATGTGTGCGAAGATGGGGACAAATATTTGGAAGAAAACTAGAGAAAATAATATAGACAGTGAAGATCTCCAGTGGACTTGCTTTGAAATCTGTATTTCTTTAAATTGTTTCTTTTTGAACATTTTTGATATGTTTAATCTTACCCTCTTTAAGATAAAAAACAAGTGTGTAGAACTGATAACCATGCTATAAGTTTTTGTTGGATCATTGAGCAGAACTGTTGACAGTGTCACTAAATGTCACTTTGTATGCTTTAATTTTGTAAACTGAACAACTATTTCTAAGACGACAATATGTAATTTATCAACGTGATTTCTTACTGTTTATTTTTCTGTAATTCTGTATTATTTCTACCCTTTTTTTCTCAATGTTTTTGTTTATTTCTTTCTCTTTAAATAAAAAAAGAAAAATGAATCACAGACACAAAATCACTCACAGACACAGAAAAATTTATTGCAATGCTGAAAATACCCCCCCCCAAAATTGTTGCACTATAGGAGACTGAAGCAGGAGGAGTATAAGTTGAAGTTACAAGGAAACAAAATAGAGGCTCCTCAAGGACTTGTTTCTAAATACATACATACGTATATACATACATGAATACATACATACATATATACATACATACATAAAAAATAAGTGCAATGTCTGCATGCTGAGGATATAGCATATTGTGAAGGTGGTAGGGTTAATGCCCAGGACCTCAAAGAATAAGCATATTTTATTCATTTTCTGTGTTCAATACTCTTTTACATTCTCATATAGCACACGAGCTCTCTTCACAGACCATATCAGTATAATGTACTAGAAAAGTTCATTGAACTCAATGAACTTTTCTAGTACATTAGAACTTTGTGTCTGTGATTTCTGTGATTTCTCTCCATCAAGGAATCACAGTATGTCAATGCTTTTTTCACTGATGCTTTTATAATATTTTGAAGTTTGAGTAGTACAAAACATTTCAAGGTTTTAAAGTCCATTTCATTTTTAAAGTTAAAGGAGACCATCCATGGAAGAGAGCAGTGGCACTGCATGTCTTATATTTTACTAGACTTGGAAGAAAAATATTTGTGTATCTTTTTCAATGTCCTATGAAGAGCATATTTTACATCTTTGTTCCTTAAGCTATAGATCAGTGGATTCAACATGGGGATGACCAACGTATAAAATATGGAAGCCAGTTTGTCAGTTTCAAAGGAATGACTAGACTTGGGCTGCATGTACATAAATATCAATGTTCCATAGAATATTGTGACCATGGTCAGATGGGAACCACAAGTGGAGAAGGCTTTGAACCTGCCTTCTGCAGAATTCATCCTGAGAATGGTCACAGAGATGAGCAAGTAGGACACGAGGACCACCAGAAGAGAAGAAATCAAATTAAAATCAGCTAAGATCAAAATTATCACCTCTATTTCAAGAGTATCTGAGCAGAGCAATGATATCAAGGGGAGACTGTCACAGTAGAAATGACTGATAACATTATGTCCACAGAAGGATAAAGTAAAAATCTTTATAGTGACCAGAAGTGACACAAATGTACAATAGAGATAGGGAATCATCACTAGTACCCAACATACTCTTGGTGACATGATGGCAGTGTACTGAAGAGGGTTACAGATGGCTACATAGCGGTCATAGGACATGGCAGACAGAATAAAAAGCTCACTAATAATGAACAGGAGAAAGAAAGCGAGTTGTGTAGCACAAAAGTAATAGGAGATTTTACTTTGTTCCTCAATAAAATTTACCAGCATTTTTGGCCCCACAGCTGTAGAGTAACCAAGATCTGTAAAAGCCAGATGCCTGAGAAAAAAGTACATGGGTGTTTGCAGCCTGGAGTCCACCTGGGTGAGGATGATCATGCCCAAGTTGCCTACCAGTGAGGTCAGATAGATGATGAGGAACAGCACAAAGAGTGGGGCTTGCAGCTCAGGACGATCTGTGATGCCCAGCAGAATGAACTCGGTCACCACTGTGAAGTTGTGCTCCTCCATCCTCATTTGCCACAAAACATACTCTAGACAGACATATCAAAAAGAGTGTCTTCACACAGGGAATTAATTATGCAAATCCAGGGCAAATAATATGTATCTTGACTTTCAAGTGTAGATTTTATGATGTTCTCCACTATTATCAGGTGGTAATATACAAGTAGTCAGTTAGCTAATCAAGTTGTTCTCAAAAAAGATAGTTTGACTTATCAGCGAACACTTTTGATATGTAGAGACACTTTGGTTGTTGCCAATGGGATGTGGATATGTCTGGGCATCTAACTGTTAGAGGGAGGATAAAATGTGATTCATCTTAACATATTGAATATCCAGTCCTAAACTTTAGCAAAGCAATAATCTTGTTGTAAGAAGAGAAAAACTCAATATAATTAGATAAACATGGGGTCAGATAGAGAAGCACATGCAGTCAGTTGGACAAAATCATAATTGTGAAAACTTGGCATGTTAGCTACGGTGTGATAATCATACTGTTCTTTAATAGTTGGTTTTCATTTATGTACTTACAATCACATTGTGGTACCTATGTATTACATTTCAAAAATGACATAATGTATATTTCCAAGACTTACCAAAAATTTCTAACAATAAATTGCAAAAATTAATACAATATTTTTGTAACAGTTACTATTTCCAAACCTAGTCTTTTAAAACACATATACTTGCAAGGGTCACAAATGAGATGGTTAAATCAATTTATATATATTTGAAAAAACACAGAAAAATCACAGCAGAAATTGCCTTTATATGAAAAAGCATACCTGCAGAAATACATACATTTGAGTACACAGTCAGTTATTCCTTACATTAGCATACAAAAGGGTTGCCATGGTCAAGTAATTTAACTAAAATACTTAGTCTGAAATACAAAATCAAAATATTCTGAAAGGGTTGTTGAGGAGGAAGATGGTTGACCTAGGCATCTGCTGGGCATCACAGATCGTCCTAGGTCAGGTGACCTAGATGTAGTTCTCTGTGATCATGAACATGTTTTTTCTTAGTTTTATTTTTCTCTTTAAATGGTTAGAGTGCCTCACCTTAAAAACCTTTACTTTCCATATGCACATGCACATTCTTCTGCAAACCGGCTTTTTTTCTTTGGTGTAAAAAATTAAGCAGATGAAAGACTGACAAAGCAGAATAAATACATGCTACACATCTCAGTCCTGATCACATCGTATCTGACTTTGTGCCAGTTCTAAAATTGGATGAAGAATATACTGTTGCTTTGGATCAATTATTTTCTTTTTCACAACTATTTTAATACATCTACAAGATAAGGTGCTTGCATATAAATTTGCTTAAATGCTAAGCTTCCCTGAAATTCATTATCATTATATATGAATAAATATAAATATATAGTTTATATAGGATTTTATATGTAACCATGAAAAATAAGTATATATTAATTGTACAAGTTTAACCAGTGTATGCATTGCATGAAAATTTTATTATGATACACAGTGTTATAGAGACAATAAATACACTAATTCTGAGATCCATGTGGATCCTGGAAGTGATATTAAATCTTTCTGTACATCAGATTCATAAGAAATAAATGTGATAGCACATAATGCATAGAAATACAGAAGTCTCTAAGGCCTAGAGATTGCAAAATACAACATACAAAATGTATGGCTTTGAGATAAAATTACTCATTGTTTTAAAAAATATTGTGCCAATGTTTCCTTAACTAATGAAAGAACTAGAAGTGACAAACTTAGTATTTAAAACTGTAATTCAAGTGAAAGAAATTATATCACACAAAATTAAACACAAAGGCACAGCTTATTGTTACCTCACACAGAATGTTGTGCACAGAGTTGAAGCTGAGTGTTGTCCAACTACCCCCAGACCCTCTCCACTCATAGTTTAGATTTACAATCTAAATTGCCAATGACACCATTAGAAGAATGCTTTTTAATAAATCTACTGAAAGGCAAATCTTACTTTTGTTTGACTTAATTCATAATCATAAAAAATTAGGAAAAATAGATATAAGGAAAGATAAAATACTTTTCTCTCAAATCCCTTGCAGTTCAATGGAACAGGCAAATGACTTTTTCACAGATCATTACCTTTACTGAATGCTCAAATTTTATTTTTTTAAACACTAAAGATATTTATTTCCCTTTTCAAAATGGGAGTATTTTTTGCCTTCAAAACAATCTTGAGTTCTTATCTCCTAAATATTCACTAATGCTTTTCCCTTCTTCACATGAAAGAGAAACTCCTTCCAAGAATCAAAATTGATCATTTTTATCTATGTGATTACATAATCACTGAATCAAATGTATTTCTATAAGATTCCCCCCCCCAAAAAAAAACACTTAGAGTAAATAAGTGTTGGAAGGATGTCAGAATCAGACACTGAAGCCTCAGAGTTTCAAATTATGTCTTTGAGGAAAACTCTGTGGTCCTTTTTAATTATACTCTCTCTCAGATCACTTTTGTTGGACAGGATGGTTTACAAATATATATGACTCTACACTACCAAAGTATTTGAAAATACATAAAATTACTAAGCACCAAGAGTAGACTTCCTAAGGATTCTCAGGAAGGTATGGGGTTTGAGAAGCTACACACACAAACTGACTGGAAAATAACCACCTACCTTAGAAGACAAAGCCTTATTGAACTCTGATCACCAGAGTAGCTATTGGGCAGTTCCTGGAACCTTCTCTCCCTGTCACGTGTGGTTAAAATTCTCTCCTGGTTTTCTCATGTGTTTTCTAACAATGGTTTTGAAAGGCAATTTATGGATTTTTTAACCTTTTGAGACTATCCCTAAGGGAATGTCAAGCAACTGAGAATTAAGTGAAATAACTGGAGGTTGGTAATTGTCAGGGACACTGAGGATACCACGTGAGTCCATGTATTACTTGACTAAAGGCTTACAAGTCAATTTCTGTGTTTTACCTAAAACAAATTCCAATTACACTCTGAAAAGTGTATTAAAATCGTCATGTTTACTGTCACAAAATTTAAATAACCAAAGATGTGAATAAACCTAAAAATCAATTGATAGAATAATACCAAAATAAAATGTGAATTACTTATGCACTATAATATCAATTAGCTTTACATACGAAATCCTCAATATATGGAAAAATAGATGAACCCCTAAGACATTATACTAAAAAAAACTACCGAGTCACAGAAGGCCACATACTATAGACAAATCCAATTACATGAGTTATCTAGCAAATCTGAAGTTAAGAGTTGGGAGAAATGAAGAGTTGTACAGAAACAGTCATTGGGACAGAGTTATTAAAAAGGAATGAGCTCCATGACTGTGCTAAGGATTGTGTCTGTAACAGCAATTCCCTGACTTACAAAAAATCAAGCTTAAAACTTATAAATACAAAATAATGTCACATTACAAAACATTCCAGCAATGAAAGAAATTGAGGAAGTAGCCCAAGTGTCCACTTTAGTAATTTAAGGTAATTGTAAAAATAAAGATAAGTTATTTGCAATGTGTGTGTGTGTGTGTGTGTGTCTGTGTATAGATGAAAGAGAGAGAGTGTACGTTTTGGTATTTTATATTTTACATTTAATATTTGGGTCAAAATATATACATCTTACTTCATAATAATAATAACTGTGGGAGTAATAAAATCCAAAATGTGTAATTGTTATTGTAAAAAAGAGAGGAAAACCAAGTGCTCTAAAGGATATGTCTGCATGTATATTTAAGTGTATAAGATGGATACATATTACTGAGTTTTTGTTAGATCACTGAACAGAATTGTTTGCAGTCTCACTGTTTTGAATGTCCACTTTGTATGCTTTAATTTTGTAAATTAAACAACTATTTCTAAGATGACAATATGTAATCTATTAACTACTAGTTTCTTACTGTTTATTTTTTGAAATTCTGTGTTACTTGTACATTTTTTTCTGTTTTTTTTTCTTTTTCTCTTTAAATAAAATTTTAAAAAATTACTTTTTAGGACTTTCAAACTAATCATACTTAAGAACAATCTCCCTGAAGGGGAATTTGTTTGTCCATGAGGGACTTACTGTACTCTATTACATATTTTCAACTAGATAAATTTATTCTTAAGCAAAACAAAATAAAAATTTTATAACATGCTGCATCAGCTATGAATATCAATGTTTAAAATTTGAAGTATCCAAGACTCATGTGTTATCTTTAATATGAATATTTTATGTGAAATGCCTGCAATTTAAAAATAAAATACACAGAGATGGAGCACAGGATCTGAAGGAACTGAAGAAGAGGTGAAATTTCTTGGTTTGGTTTTGTACTAATGAAAATATTTTAGAAGTGGAAAAATTTGTTTCTTGCAAAACATAGTGAACCTAGTAGTTTCACTGAAAGAGGTAAAACAGTAAATTTTGTGGCATGTTGGGTTTAACTCAATAAATTGTTAGCATTTTTCTTGTGTTTTGAATAAAAATACTTAATTTTGGCAGGAGTTTAAACTCGGGGTCTTGAAGCCCTCTCATATATTGGGTCTTCTTTTAATTTTTTATTGAGGTGGGTCTGTAAATTTCTTGGTACCCAGGTGAGGTGAGAGCCTGTGCTCTTCGTATTCCCTCTGGAAAGCTGGTATAACAGTAGTGCACTACCATGCTTGGCTGGTTGCTGGCTGTGCTGGTAGTACATTTTTCTTACATACATAAAAAAAAATTTAAATTTACTTAAATTTGTTTGTTATAGCTTGAGTTATATAAAGTTTCAGGATTAGTGGAGCCAGAGAAGTGTCTTGAAGACTTCACACAATTTTTAAAATGTGCAATAAACTAAGGAAGTTATACTAATCATAAGAATTCTGATAGATGCAAAAGATACCTGAAGTTTTGCTAAATTGAAATATATTCATTTTCCTAATGAATTTTATGTAAGAATACAGTTTCATTTATAACATGTGTTATTGTGACATTGCTGGGAACAAATATCCACCACCCACAAATTAAAGGATAATTTAATTTTATCTCACAATTTTTAAAAAAAATTTATT